TCCTGCCAGCAAAATGGGGCAACATAAACATAAACATAAAATGGTGGGGTTTAGTAGTATAAGCAGCCACTTAAAATCTAAGCCTGCAGCGTTTGTAAAAGCCCTCAAAAATGTCAGTCAGCATCATAACTGTGTTCCAGACCCTGCACTATAGATGTTATCACTTCATTCTTACAATATCCATAATAATACTATCACTCCCATAATCTGGGTGAAACCAAATGAGGTTTAAGGAAATTCTGAGTCCAGGCAGTGACAGGAACGGCTGGAGGAGCCTCACCTGTCTGACAAAGCTGTGCTCTCACGGAACCTTCCTCCAGAAAAGCACAGGGACAAGACGCACCCACTACGGGCTGACCTGGAGAAGGTCCCTGACACAGTGAAATCAGGGTGTGACGTGAGCAAAGTCGTAAGTGAGAAAAACAGGTTTTTAACTGTTTTAATATTGCCTGATTTTTTAAGAAAGGGTTTTGTGTTTTTAACAAGAAACCCAGGGTGTCTTGGCAGTAATTTCCATCTCGGGTCTTCTGTGACTCAGACGTCCCCAAGGAGAGAGGTGACCTGCACCAAGGGATCAGGGGCCTCATCCAAGCAGATGGCTGCTTGATGAAACCACAAGTTAACGCTTCCTCTATTTCATTCTAGAACTCACTGCTTCCAAAGAGAAAGACGCCTACAAATAAAAGCCCAGGAGTAAATTTTCCCTTTCTGTGTGCACGAACCTGTGTACACACATCCTGAGGAACAGCTCCACTCACCTGAAGGGTGGGGATTTTAAAGACCTCTCCCAAGTGGCGCAGACCACTATGACTCAAGTCTAAAATCGATGCGGAAGGTAAGATCATCTCCCCGATACCCTCGTGAACATCTCTGGAGGGGGACGCAGGCAAGCGCCCAGCCTGACCAGCACCCTCCGCCCGGCCGTCAGCAGCCCCAGAGGGAACTCCGTAGGAGCGGCTTCCCTCCATCCGCTGTCCCCCAGCAGCCACAGCTCATCGTCCTTGGTCTGGGGTCACCTGCAGACACAAGAGAGAGAGACGTGGAAGCAACTAACGATGCTGACACGTCCACACAGGCGAAGGGGAATAGCCATGCGGAAGGTCTGCAATGATTTGACTTGCTCTACGAGCCATCGTTTTTAATAAGCAGTGTGACACATTTGATTTTAAACTTGTAAAAAACTGGCATGTAAGAAGGTTCAGATTAATATCCTCTGCTCTCACTTTGTACCACAGAGTTCCCAGATTTGACTTTTAACTCCTGGAAAATGCAAAGATGTACAATGGGAATCATTATTTTGCACAGCTGCTGGTCTCGGCTGCGGTCCTGCGCGGGAACCCTGCGTTTAGCTCCCCGAGGCCGGGAATGCCGCCTTCTGTTTACCATCTGGCCCACGGCCCAGCACCAAGCCTGCCTCGCACCGGGTCAGGCACAGGAAAAACCCGTTCAATACTTTTGCTCCACGCAGCTTAAGAACTACCGTTGGCCGAAGCCCGGTTCGGCGAGGCTGGAACGTAACCTCCAGCGCGTTCACGAAAACGTTGGGACGCCCCCAGCGTTCCGTGCATCTGTGGCCTTACTACGCACCGCGCGACAGCCCCGCGGCCGCGCACGCCCCGGCCCCGGCAGGGAGGGCACCGCGGGCGGGGACGCCCCACGTCCCGGCAGGGAGGGCACCGCGGGCGGGGTCGGCCACGCGCACGGCTGGCGCGGCGGGCGACGCCGGAAGCCCGGCCCGCGAAGCGCTTCCCACGGCTGGCCCACCCTGCGTCCGCGCGGCCGGCCGCCGCTTCCCACAAACCTCCGAAAGGGAAAAGCAGCAGCCCGGGCGTGAGCGAGAGCCGGGCAGCGCGGGGTCCGCGGGTCGCAGCGGCTGGCAGCAGGCCCCGTCCTGCCTCGGTTTCCCCACTCCGGCGAGGCCGAGCTGCACCCGACGCTGTGGACTTCACCCTCCAGGCCTGTGAGGCGCGGCCTTCCCCCGCCCCCGCTCGGGGGACCCCACTTGCGGCGCCCCCGCCCACCAGCCCGTCGGCCAGCGGGGCCGCGGAGAGCAGCTGTGGGACAATGGAGGACGCCGGGCCCACGCTGTCGCCATGGAGACGGCGGTACGGGAGCCCGCGGGCGCCAAGCCGCAGGCGGAAGCGGGTGGTGTTGCGCCTGCGCACGGGGTGCTTGTGGCGCGCCTGCGTGAAAGGTGGTGCGCCGACTCGCGGGGGTAGTGCGCCTGCGCACTACGTGACCGGCGGCCCATGACCCTCAGCTGGCCCCCGAGCGCTGTGGACCGAGGGACACACCAGACCCAGAGGTGGGCGGGTCCGGCGGTCTCAAGCAGGGGAGGCTGGGAGGGGGCGCTGGGAGCCGCAGCCCGCGGAGCCCGCAGCGTCGTGTGCGCGGGGAAGGGGGAGGACCCCACCCTTGGGGAGGACCGGGCCAGCGTGACCCGGGGCCCGAGCGGGGCGGTCGGCTGTCGCCCGCGATGCCGCTGTGCCGTCTTCAGCGGGTCCCCGTCGGGGTGGCCGCGGGAGTGGCCGAGGCTCTGCCTCCGAGAAGCCACCTCGGAGTCCCGGGCTGAGGGTCTGCAAGGGAACTGGGCGCAAAGGGCGCGCGGGCCTGGCGATGCCCTTGGCTGCTGTCGGCTTGTCTTGGGGGCGTTCCCGGCCACCTGCGCCTCCTCTGGGCCGGAGCCCCACGGCCAGCCCTCCACGCTGCTGTGTGTTTCTCATGCCCTTTTTGCCTATGAAGTGTTACGGATTTTTAAATTTTTCTTTTGAAAATTATCTGTTGTAGCCGTGGGTGGAGGGGATTCTGAGAGGGCCTCCAAACATGAACTGACAGCACCGTCTTGCCCAGAGGAGAAGTAACGATCGTCAATAAAGGAAAATAAAAGTTTAACTCTTTTAGTTCTTTCGGTGCGATACCTTGCGGTGAAACTGTCGCGAATCATGTTTGGTATTTTCCAGTAGTGTTCTTCTTCATCAAAAGAAAAGCAACCGAATTAAAAAAAGAAAAACTTTATAGAGTTGGATATAAGGACGATAAGCATCTCTCGGTAAGTTTTGCAGATTTCCACGTGGCCTGAGATTACCTTCTGGAAGGTGTTCAAAGTGCCCCTGAGCAGCCTGTTCCGTTCCTGCTCTGCCACGCCTGTCATCGTAAAATGTGACAGCCGGAAATGTGGGACTCTCCCTGGAAAGCAGCTGAGCCCCCAAAGCAAAGAGGACCCTTGTTTCCATATAACGTCCCCTGAGAGCACAGCACAGGACGGGGCTGTGTCAGGAAGGTGGGGATGGGTGGAGGGACCGAGGCAGCCAGGCCGACCTCCCGGCTGCTGTGGGAAAGCGGGCGTACTCTTCGGCACGTCCGAGAGGGAGTGTGACGAGTCCCTAATGCACCTTTCAGATGAGCCAAAGTGGTGAGCTCCTCTCAGGCACCCAGAGAGACTCAGGCTCACCCGGCTGTTGGCCTCCATCTTCCCGGCTGCCGTGGTTGGGGTGTGTCCCCCCCGAATTCGTGCAGTAGAAATCTGATTCCCAGTGTGGCAGCATTGGGAGAGGGGGCCTTTAAGACACGGTTAGGTTGTTAAGAGAGATAGATGCCGCTCTCTAGGGACTGGGTTAATTCTCGAGGGAGTGAGTGGGTTCTTGCTGTCTTCGGACAGGATTAGCTGCCACGAGAGCCAGTTGTCCTAAAGTGAGGCCCCTTCTACGTTTTTAGGACGGTTATAAAGCCAAGCAAACAGTGACACTGCAAGTGTGAATGATAAAATTCTGAAACAAGAAAAAATCAAGGTAGGTCCCATAATTCATGCTGGGGAAAGGGAGGGAGATGAGTGGGGGGTGCACAGGGTGGCTGTTATAGGCTGAACGGTGTCCCCCAAATTCATACTGGCCAAAGATAAACTAAGCACACTGGTTAGAGCGGTCGGGGCAGAGTCTGGTCGGAAATAACTTGCAGCAGGGAAGAGTCAGCGTGGGCTGAACTCGACTTGGGTTTGCACGGAGGTGACCGGGCGTTATAAAGGGACGGTGCGGGAGGGGCCGTGGAGCAGGGAGGGACAGCTCTCGGAAAGCGGAAGTGGGGTGGCTGCATGAAGCCGGCCGGGCTTGCTGACCGGTGCTTACACAAGTCGGGCTCCCACCCCCACAGGGACCGGAGACCGCCGGGCCCTGTCCCCAGTGTCACTGGGACTAAGGGACTCTCGTGGCAGGAGATCTTGAGGTGTCTCAGACAGGCACTTTAGGGGGTTGAGTGGTTCTAGGGGTGCAGCCTTGAGCTCTAGAAATGATGTCAGCACTTGTCCGAGTCTCTGTAGGCCCCGGTGGGGCCTGGTGAAAGGAGCTGGGCCCGAGTGGGTCAGGGGAGGCTCCTGTGTGTACGTTACCTCAGAATGCAGCTGCATTGGAAAGGGGCCATTAAAAAGGTAATTGAGATAAAAAGAGTGGGCCCTAATCCTGAGGCTTGAGGCCAGGGGTTCGAGATCAGCCTGGGCAACACAGTGAGACCCAATCTGTACAAAAAATAGAAAAATTAGCCGGCTGTGGCAGTGGCACCTGTAGTCCCAGCTACTCAGGAGGCTGAGACAGGAGGATCCCTTGAGCCCAGGAATTGGAGGCTGCAGTGAGCCATGATGATGCCACTGTACTCCAGCCTCAGAGACAGAGGGAGACCCTGTCTCTAAAAGAAAAAAAGAGAGATTAGGACACAGACACACAAGACACAGAGGATGGCCATGTGAGGACACAGGGAGAACACGGGGACCCCCACTTCCAGAGCTGTGAGAACTCGAGTCTGCTGAGCCGCTCGGCTGCCATATTTGTTACGGCCCCCGAGCTGCCCAATGCAGGGTGGGGCCCGGGGACAGGTGGTCCCTCAATCCAGCCAGGGGGAGGCAGGAGATGGGGGCGGGGGCTCAGAGGCCAATGGCGGCTCATGAGTGTTTCACGGTTTCACTTCAGAACATCTGCATGTTACATGTACCCTTACCGTGCACAGCTGTTAATGACAGAAGGAAGCCACATCCCCGCAGGGGAGAGGACACCGGCACTCAGTGCACGTCTGCGCCTGGGCCCCGTGGCACCGACACCAGTCCAGCTGTGGGCTTTGGCCTGGGTCGAACCCTCCTCAGTCTTCGCAACGGCTGTGAGCCCGAGGAAACAGTCGGGGAGGGTCTCAGCTGGTGCTGAGGGGCTGCCAACCTCAGGGCAGCATCTCCAGGGTGCCAGGAACTGGGCGGCTGCCCGAGTTTACGCAGAAGACTGAGGAGTGAGGAGGTCATGGTCGAGCCGCGGACGCCCGCCGGACAGGTAAGCGGGGGAGGACGGGCAGCGCTCAGCCACATGTGAGCAGAGTGCATGCATGGGATCCCACCCCAGCAAGACTTTAAAAGAGAGAAGTGATTTCCCCAAGGGGGTCCTTTCTGCGGCCGCAGAACCAGCAAAGCTCACCTTCCCACCTGGCGTCGGCTGCCTCGGCAGGGTCCACCTGGGCCCTCGTGGGGACTGACCACAGCCTTGACCTTGGAAGCACGGCAGGGCTGCCTCTCCGGGGAAGGTCGCGACGGCAGATGCCCGGTTGGACAGACCTGCACGTCCCCACGGGGCTGCTGGATGCTCCCCCAGCAGAGGCTTTTCCGCAGCTGGACGTCCTCACCCAGTACCTGGAAGAGGCCGGAGCTGTGTTGCAAAACTCGCTAGTTCCCAGCTTCAGCAGCGAATAAGATGGCTGTGAAGATAAGAAGCCTAGTTCGAAAACAGGATCGAGGACGACTACCGAAACCTGGAGGATGCAGAAAATCGGCCTGGAGCTTCTCCCTATAAAGATTTCAGGAGCATCTGCACGGAGCTGCCTCAGAGGCAACACCTGCAGGGGACGGGGGAGGCGGATTCTTCCCCCAGTCGCGCCTCCCCACGTGGCGCTCACCCTTGACAAGCCCCTGCGGCAGATGTTGCAGTTTAATTTTAACGTAAAAGTGGCGGTGGCTTTTCCCGAGAGGACGATGAGCGTGGAGAACGCCTGGTCAGTGCCACCGCGTCACGGCAGCCAGGTGGGCGGAGACTTGTCTGGCTCTCCCTGGTGGCCTGAGGCCACCGCCCGGCTCAGGGACATGTGGTCCCTTGACAGCATCTACTCCCACCTGCTCCAGGGTGATGTTCTCCCTGGAAAAGGGAAAACTGCCAAACATGAAGATCTAGGAATCCAGCATGTGCCCAAGAAAAACACGTGGACCGATGAGTTTAAATCAGTGTTTACTTTTGAACAGGCAGCAAGCGGTGCCAGGATTCCTCACGTCCCTGGGACAGGTCTGGAGGCTGCCTCACCCTCGGGGGGCCTGGCCCGGCCCCTACCTGCACAGGCTTGCCCGTGAGCCGGGCCCTGGGCCAGAGGCGGATACGTCATGGCCACGTGGGCTGCAACAGATACTTTTGAACCCAAATTTCCCTGTAATTAATAAAACAGAAGCAAAGATAAGAGCAAAAATGTGGGCAATCAGTGAATAAATGTGGACGTGTGCAGGAAGCCTGGCACAGAGGAGGCACCTGTACATTTTTCTTCTTTTTATTAACAGAGATCGAATCGTTTTAATTAAACATGACTATCTCTAGGCAAATCTAAATCAGTTCAGAGGATAAGAGAATTTTTTTAAGGAGAAAATAATTTTGAAAAAGCAGACATGGGAAAGTGGCGAGTAAGTATGGTGCCACCCGACTCATGACAGGACGCTTCCCAGCCCTCTTTCTCTGCCACGTGGGGTGCTCACCCGGTGCGGCCACTCTGGTGATGACAGACGCAGGAACCCAAGCTCAGAGAGGTCAAGGACGTGCCGCAGCCACACAGCGATTAAGTGACAGAGCTGGCTTTGTGCCCAATCGCTGGTCACTGCGACATCTGAAGTTCCAATACAGGCTATTTTTAAAAACGTGAAAGCGAAAGGCCTAGAAACGCCAGCTTCCACAGGGAACAAGCATGCGTGAGTTCAGCTGCGCAGCAAACAACACTCTGCCCAAATGGCGGGGACGTTCACGGCTCTGGCTTCATCCTTGATCTAACTGCGGGGCCACGTCGGACCCCTGACTTGCCTCCAGCGGTCGGTGTGTCCTTTCCTGTTGTCCCGGCAGCTCCGCCCATCCTTGCGTGAGTGGCTGAGATGCCGCTTTGAGGTTCTTGCAGACCTGGGCTGCCACGTGCAACGGGCTCAGCTGTCACCGCCCGGCTCCCTGGCGACATGGGTGCTGGTGGCAGTGGGACCCTCCCCTCCACCTGTTCCTGGCCTGCTAGCCCCTCTGTGGGGCAGGAGCTGCTCCTTGCCTTGGGAGGCAACTCCCCCTGTCCCGGGTCCTCTCAGTCCAGCCATCTAGAAGGTTCCCTGATCTCGATGTGCACTCCACCTCACCTTCCCGTGGGGGCCCTGTTCTCCCAGCTCCTCATCTCAGGGCTGTTTCCAAGCTGCACCTGCGGGACCTGTCTATGCGTCCCCACACCCAGCAAGCCCATGAGGGCAACGCCAGGCTGCGCGTTCTGCCACGTGAGGCTGAACACTGACAGGCTGACACTATCCACGGCACAGAAGCCACCTCCTCCCTCCTCATCTGCACCTGTGCAGACCCCGGCACAGACTCACCCTCCTCCGCCCCTCAATGTTGTCTCTGGGAGCTCCCAGAACGTCCCACCCCCCCAGACGATGGCAAGCCCCTGCGCATTCACTCCCAAGGACGTTTTCATTCCGCAGGTGAGATGTCCAGCGGAGTCCGGTGAGCTGAGGCCGCACGCACGTGCCGGTCCAGCATCTCCCCTCCCCTGGTTCAGCCGTGCTTTAGACCTGGAGGCCCAGAGGGGCGGGCCCACGCCCACCTCCCCTCCCCACCTCTGGCTGGGGGGGGCGAGTGGGGGGGAATGGACAGGTGTGAAGCCGGGGCAGGGAGGGGCTATGGCCGCCTTGGCCAGTACAGGCGTGACCGGGCCGGGCTGATGCTGTCTTGGAAGAAGGGTCTGGTGGGCTCCTCCTTTTTTGACATCCATTTCACATGTGAGAGACAAAAAAACATCTACATTGGTCTTGGTATTGGGAAGATAGAAAGTAAATCACATTAGAAAGATAAAACGATCTTCATCTTGGAGAAGGTCCCCTCACACAATAACATAACTCAGGGGACGAGGGCAAAAGGGCAGAAAGGATATTGCCCAAGAGTGTGAGCTAAAACGAGAGCATTTCAATGTTAAAGAAGGTTTCGTAAGTAAAGAATGTCACTTTTTTATTAACTGATGAGGTTTTGCTATTTTATTTGTTACTTTGATGAGTAAACCAAAGAATATTTGCATTCCAAAAAAGTTCCTTTTGAGGTACGAGAGATGAGGTTTATAGTATGTAAATTATACGTGAATAAAGATGAAAAGGGAAGACCCCTGGCTACAACCCATTGTAAAGATACACCGCGATTGTTTTTGGCAGATTGTTTTTGGCAGATGCGTGGAGTGGGTGTCAACCACACGTGGCTCTAGAACCGGAGCCCCACAAGCTGTCTGCAGCCAGTGGCTGTTCTCACCCTGCCCAGGTGAGCAGCCGTTTCCCTTCCGTCCCCCATACCTTTGCCTCTTCCGGACCTTTCCTGGGACTGGGACCACACGGTAGGATGTCTTTTCATGTGGCTTTCTTCACCTGGCGTAATGACTCAGGTCCGTGCTGTTGTAGGAGGTGTCAGTATCTCATCCCTCTTTATTACTGATTCGTGTTCCTTTGTGTGCTGTGTGGCTTGTTGACCCACTCACCATGTCGTGGACCTCGGGACTATTTACAGTTTGGGGTATTATGAAATCCTGCTGCTGCGAATATTCATGCATGTCTTTGAGTTGGCACATATTTTATTTTCATTGGGTAGATTTCTAGTAGTGGAATTGCTGGGTCCTAAGTAAGTTTATGCTTAAATTTCTAAGACATTAACTATCTTCCAAAGGGGCCATACCCTTTTACATTCCCATTGGGAAAATAGGAGTTCAAGGTCTGCCACATCTAACACTTGGTATTGTCTGCCCTTTTTGTTCTGTTTTGTTTTAGAGACACACAGGGTCTCTGTTCCCCAGGCTGGAGTGCAGTAGTGTGATCACAGCTCGCTGCAACCTCAAACTCCTAGGCTCAAGCAATCCTCCTGCCTCAGCCTCCCTAGTAGCTGGGACTACAGGAGCGAGCCACCACGCCTGGCTAATTTTAAATTTTTTTTTTTTTGTAGAGACGTTGGGGATTGGGGAGGGTGTCTTGGTATTGCCCAGGCTGGTCTTGAACTCCTAGCCTCAAGCAATCCTCCTGCCTCAGCCTCCCAAAGTGCTAGGATTACAGGTGTGAGCCCCCATACCCGGCCTGTCTGCCTTCTTTATTACAGCCATTTGGTGAGTGTGTAGTGGTATCTCATTGTGGTTTTAATTCTCCTTTGCCTGAAGATTAACGATGTTGACCACATTTTTTGTGTATTGGCTGTTTGTACATCTTTGGTAAACTGTTTTCCAAGTCTTTTACCCGCTTTCAGCTGGGCTGTCTGTCTTGTAACTGAGTTGTAAGAGTCCGTCATATGTTCTGGGAACACGTCCTGTGCCAGAAACGTGCTTGGAATTATTTCCCGAAGCTGCGCCTTGTCCTGTTGTCTTCTTAATTGTCTTTTGATGCACTAAAATTTTTAATTTTAATGAAGACCAATTTATAAATTTTATTTAAAGCTCATGCTTTTGGTGTCATGTTTAGTAACTTTTTGCTTAACCCAAAGTCCTGGAGATTTCCTCCTGTGTTTTCTGTCGGAAGTTTCAGGGCGTCAGCCCCGGTGTTTAGGCCCCCGACTCAGTTTGGGTTATTTTTTATGTGAGGATCTAAGTTTATCCTTATACTGTTGTCATTCAGGGAAATCAGCACTTTCAGTTTTCTTTGTGGAGAAGTTTTAAATTACACATTCAATTTCTTTTACAGATACCGGGCTGTTCATGTTTTCTATTCTATCCATTTTGAAGAGTTATATTTTTCAAGGAATTTCTCCATTTTATCTGAGTCGTGAATTTACTGGCACAAAATTGTCACAATAGTCCCTTGTTGTTCCTCTAAATATCTTCAGGCTTTGTGGTGATGTCCCTTCTTTATTTCCGGTATTGGTGATCTTTCTCTTTTTCCTTGCTCCGTGATGCCGGGGTTTTATAAATCTGGTTTTCACAGGACCAGTGAGTGGCTCTGCTCATTTTCTGTATCACTTTCGTGTCTAGTTCACAGATTTCGGTTCCGAAGTCTGTTTTTCCTTCTTTCTACTCACACTGCATTTTAATGACTTTTTAAAAAACTTTTTAAAGCTCATCTTTACCATCTCCTCCCAGGACCGTAACTTCCCTTCTTTGCGATGCTGGCTTGTGGCAGTGGCTTCTACTTAGACAGTTTATTTTTTATTATTATTTCCCCTTTAATTCAAAATAAACTGCATATGTTTGCGGTGT